ACATTTTCCCTCATTCTTCAGGCTCAGCTCAGGTGCCTTCTCCTTCCTGGAGCCTCCTACCAGGACCCTCATCTCCATCCCCCCCCCCCACCCCCCCCCCACCCCCCCCCCCCACCCCCCAGTTCTGGTTCTGTCTCTTGAACTCCCGTCTGGCCATGTGCTTTTTTCACACTCCAGACTGGAAGCTCCTCGGGTAGGGCAGGATTTCCCCCCACTCCTGGCGCCTGGTCCAGCCCAGGATACAATGAAGGCTGGAGGAGGGAAGTGGGAAGGTCTCCTGGCCGGGATTTCCGGGAGAGCTGCAGGAAGTCAGAGCCCCCCCCCCCCCCCCATGGCAGCTCCCTTCCCTGCCCCAAACCCCGAGCCTTGGGGTTCAACGTTGCACTCGCTGCTGAGGAAATGACAAGCGAAGCTCCCCGTTCCAAGGACCGGTGTATAATATGAAACTAAAAGCACCAAAAGAGACCATAGGAGGGTTTCTATAACCTTTCTATAACTCAAAGCCAGAAGTCATAGCAAACTATCCCTCTCTCTCTCTCTCTCTCTCTCTCTATATATATATATATATATATAGAGAGAGAGAGAGAGAGAGAGAGAGAGAGAGAGAGAGAGAGAGAAAGAGAGAATCTTTTAAACTTTTGTTTCAGAGCAAAAGGGAGAGGGAGAGAAAGGTAGAAACATCAACGATGAGGCCCAGCCAGTGTGTTCAGTGGTTGAGGGTCAACCTATGAACCAGGAGGTCACGGTTTGATTCCCAGTCAGGGCACATGCCCAGGCTGTGGGCTCAATCCCCAGTGTGGGGCGTGCAGGAGGCAGCCGATCAATGATTCTCTCTCATCATTGATGTTTCCTCTCTGAAATCAGTTAAAAATATCTTTAAAAAGAGAAACATCAGCCGAAACCGGTTTGGCTCAGTGGATAGAGCATCGGCTTGCGGACTGGGGGGTCCCAGGTTCGATTCCGGTCAAGTGCATGTACCTGGGTTGAGGGCACATCCCCAGTGGGAGATGTGCAGGAGGCAGCTGATCGATGTTTCTCTCTCATCGATGTTTCTGGCTCTCTATCTCTCTCCCTTCCTCTCTGTAAAAAATCAATAAAATATATTTTTAAAAAAAGAGAGAGAAACATCAATGAGTATCTTAGATATTCTCAGAATGCCCGAGCCTTCAGCACAACCCAGTGGGACAAGATAGCAATATCTATCAAACACACGTGGGTTAGGCAGAATTCTAAGGTGACCCTCATTGGCTTTCACCTTTGGGTGATCCCTTGTGTGTGGGCAGAATCTGTGAATATGATGAAAACATGAACTCTGGGATTATGTCCCATTATATGGCAAAAGAGATTTTTTAGATGTAAGTAAGGTCCTAAATCAGTTGATTTTTAAGGTAGAGACATGACCCTGAGTGGGCTGGGCTTGATCAGGAAAGGCCTTGAAAAATTTTTTCTGGCCAGTCTCAGAAGGAGAAGTCAGAGATTTAAATCATGAAGCATGAGAAGAATTCATTGTGCCATTTCGGGGAAGCCACGTAAAGAATGTATGTGTCATCTAAGAGCTGAGAAGGCACCCAGCTGATAGCCAGCAAAAAAACAGAGACCACAGTCCTACAACCACCAGGAACCAAACTTGGCCAATGTCGGGAATGAGCTTGGAGATTGATTTTCCCCAGAGCCTCCAACTGAGGACCAAGCCTTGCCAGCACCTTGATTGCGTCCTCAGCAGAGAACCCAGCCACCCTCAGGCCAGACTTCTGACCAACAGACTGTTAGTTAATAAATGGGTGTTATTTTAAGCTGCTGAGTTTTTGGTAACTTGTTATGCAGCAATAGAAAACTAATACAGTACCTACAACCTAGCAATCCACGTTGGGGAATTTATTCTGCAGATATATTTGCGTGTATATGGAACAATACACGTACGTGATTATTGCAACATTACTGTGACGCCAAAAAGAAAAAAAAATCTAGTAACAACTAAAATGTCCATCAATAGGAAATTGTTAAATAAATTATTTCAACCTCTACAGTAGAAACCATGCAGTAATATGAAAGGAGGAAGCTCTATATGCGGATAAAGATCTGTAAGACCCATGCCTAGCGGGAAAAGGCAGCGAAGTGATGTAGTTTGTTACCTTTTATGTGAAAAGGGCATTAAGAACGTGTATTCATTTGTGTACTTGCATAAAGAACTTCCAAAGGAATACCTAAGGTACTCATACAAAGGGGTGACCTGCCGGGGTTGGGGATGAGGAGTCACAAGAGGGCAAATGAGGCACCTGAGGCAGGGTGAGACTTTTTGTTCTATGGTTAAAAAAAATGTTTTTATTGGTTTTAGCGAGAGAGGAAGGGAGAGGGAGAGGGAGAGAAACATCTATCGGCTCCCTTCTGCAGCTCCCTACTGGACATTGAGCCCACAACCTGGGCATGTGCCCTGATTGGGCATAGGACCAGCGACCTCTCTGTGCATGCCATGATGCTCAACCAACTGAGCCACACTGGCCAGGGCTGTTCCATGCTTTTTATATAGATTTTTGAGCCATGAGAATGTATTAACTCGTTAATTTTAAAATAAAACAAAGCCAATTGTTTTAAAATGAATCAGTGGGGCACTGCCTCCCAGTTTCTTTCTGAACCTGAGCCTACTTCCTGGCCCTGTTTCAACAAGCTGGCTTTTGGGGCATGTCATCCATGCAACCCTTGACCTCCAGCATTCCATCCTTATTCCCCTTCTGCCCCAGGGGGGAACTAGAGACAAGAATTCACGTGGCTGTGCGAGTGAATCATCCCTCTGGGACTCAGTTTTCCCATCAGCGAAAATGGAGATAATAGTTCAGAAAGTGGCTGCAGGATGAGATGACTCATGTCATGTGACCAGCCCATAGAAGGCGCCCAGCCCGTGGCAGATGCTCACAGCATTTGAGATGGCTGGGGTGCAGGAGAGACCATTCCTTGTAGAGGGAGTTTACCAAGCGCACAGTAGGTGGACAAGAAATGAAGGACCCCTTTATTTCCCCCTCACTTGCTTTGAGAATGTGGCCCAATTCCTCCCTGTCTGTCGCCGTTCCTTCATTTGTAAATGAGAGGGTTAGAATGAATGAGCTATCTGATTTATAAGTTTTAGAGCCCTTGGTGACCAGGGAGAGCTCCCTCCCATGTCATATATGGGTTAGTGAGGCCCAGAGTGGCAGCTTGTTCAAGATCAGAGGCAGCGCCAAGACTGGCACTCACTCCCATCCAGGGCCTTGGCCTGAGATCTGCCCAAGCACATCTGTGCCCAAGCAGCCATGCGGTGGCACGGGGACTTTCCCGATCTTCCCAGCTTCTGGCTGTTACTATAGAAGGGCTGCTGCCCACCCAGCCTCGAGCTTGGAGGAGCCAGCTCCCCCGGCCCCTCCCTGGCATCTGTCCCACCAGTGGGAGACACGGAGTCACACGAATGCATTACAGGCGTCCCTTGGAGACAGCACCCTGGGGGTGGGGTAGAAGGACTGGGAGCCAGAGACTTCCTAGGAGTTGGGGCACATGTGACCACTGCAGTGAGCTGCCCCACAACAGCCTCTGATTTTTTGGTTTCTCCCCTGGAACCCCCACGCGCCCAAGGGTATCCCTCACCTCATCCTGCTGCTCACGGAGCTGCTGGCCTTCGGCAGTTACTTCGCTCCCTGGGCCAGCGAGTGCGGCCTTGGGTTCTGACTGCCCTTCTTGCCTCTGGGATCCATGATGTTCCTCGGGATCCTGGAGCAAGAGGTCAAGTCCCTTGTCCATTGAGGGTGAGGCTGGTTCCTGGTATGGAGCCTTGATTGACGTAAGTGACCAGATAGGAGATGCTGGTTGTATTGCCCACGGGGAAATATGACTTGGTCTGTCCCAGGTGTGTCCTAGGTGTCCAGGGCCTGCTGCCTGTCCGTCACTGCTCACTCCGGGAGCCTCCTGGGGATGTCCCTTACCCTCCAAGCTGATGTGCACAGAGACTGGAGGGACCCCTCGAGTGTGCAAGCGTGTACAGACTCCGATCTGTTCTAAGCCTGTTGACCGGTTCTGCCTTCTTCCCCTGTGGGTTGACCCAAGGAGCGTGAGCAGGTTTACAATCGTCTTGGGTCGTTTTACCCGGTTTGACTCACTTTGTGTCGGTTTCAGCACTTCTGTGTCTGCTTGGCTATTCTGAGCTCATCGTGGCCTTTTTGATTTGGGTCGTTTAATAAGAGCGGAGCATTTGACACCCCCCTCCCCCCCCCCCAGGGCTTTACGTGTACTAAGTCGCATGATCCTCACAACGACCCTGCAGGTAGGGACTGATAGTGTCCCCATTTTACACAGGGAGAAACTGAGGCACGGAGAGTTTAACAAGCTCGCCCCAGGTTTCACAGTCACTGAGAGAGGAAGCCAGGATCTGAAGCCACTCCATCTGTCTACAGACTGTGCTCTTGACCTCAATATTGGGCCCTCGCCCCTGCAGGTGAGTGTTTGAGCCACTTTAGGTGAGTAGGTTGGTCTGAGCCAGTTGGTTCTGCTCTTCCCAACGTGAGCAGCTCTGCACTGGCTCACTCTACCAGGATATATATGGCCTTGAATTTGGCACATTGCAATGGACACGTAGCTCTCAGGCCTGTACAACCTTGCACTAGAAGACCACGGTATTAGTTTCCTAGGGCTGCTGTAACAAACCGCCTCAACCTTGGCTACTTTTTCTTTTCTTAATTGGAAAAAAATTATATTTTGGGAGACCTCACTACATAAGGTGACAGAATTCCAAAATCAAATTACATGAAAATATACATCGCCATTTCTTTGTACACTAAGTGAGAAAAATCTGAGTGTAGAAGAATCGAGGCAGAGAAATGTGAAGGGCTAAGGTTAGAGGGTAAATAGCATCTTTAATAGCAAACCCAGAAGTGAGGTAGAAAGCCTCGCTGTGCATGATGTACTCACCCAACCTTAACCTTAGGTAACCGGAGGGCAAAAGTAAAACCAAATCAGAATTTTGTATAATTGGGGTACATTTCAGTAAATTGAATTCAGAACCAACTCTTTTTAGTAAACTTGGCTACTTAAAGCAACAGAAATTTATTTTTTCATAGTTCTGGAGGCCAGAAGTTCAAAATCAAGGTGTTTATACAGGGCTGTTCTCTCTCTGGAGGCCCTAGAGGAGGATCTGTTTCTTGCCTCCTCCAGCTTCTGGTGGCTCCAGGTGTTCCTTGGCTTGTGGCCGCATCACTCCAATCTCTGCATCTGTGGTCACTGGACCTCCTCCTCCTCTGTGTCCCCTGTGTGTCCCTTACAAGGACACTTGTCAGTGGATCTGGGGCCTACCCACAGATCCTTAATTACATCTGCAAGGACTCTTTCCAAATAAGGTAACATTCATAGGTTCCAGGGATTAGGACACGGGCATACCTTTTTGGGGGGATTCAACCCATTGCAACCACTGAAGTCACATTACAGTATTTCCCCCTGAGGATCCAGCTCTTAAAAGTGTCTATTGGATTAGTAGTCATCCAACTATTGGGGTCTTTTTTATTTTAATATTTATTGGGGTGACATTGGTTAATAAAATTATATAGGTTTCAGGTGCACAGTTCTACAATACATCATCTGTGTATTGCATTGTGTGTTTATCACCCCAAGTCCAGTCTCCTTCCATCACCATTTATCCCCCTTCACCCTCTTCTACCTCCACCCTCTCCCCTGTCCCTCTGGCAATTTCAACTATTGGGATCTTATCACTTCCTGCTTAGGGATTCAAAGGTAAAAGTGTAAAACGTGCTTGAAGCCATGGAAGAGCTTCCTGTATGTTCCAAGACCTGTTTATTAACATCCCTGGCTGGGAAGATCAGGACTTGGAAATATATCTGTAAACAGTCACTGGAAGATGCTACCAGTTTTCTAAGATGTTTGCTGCTGATAACACCAAGCTTACGATTCCTGGGGGCAGTTTCTTTAGCGAAAGTGATACTGAATTGAAGGAAGGCAGCCATTAGCTCCAAATATCCCAGCATTCCTGGCCTGGGGTTGGAAGAAACTAGCCATTTAGATATCGATGGAGACGGGGGAATGGTGTCATTGATGGAGACGGGGAATGGTGTCATTGATGGAGACGGGGAATGGTATCATTGATGGAGACGGGGAAATGGTGTCATCGATGGAGACGGGGAAATGGTGTCATTGATGGAGACGGGGAATGGTGTCATTGATGGAGACGGGGGAATGGTGTCATTGATGGAGACGGGGGAATGGTGTCATCGATGGAGACGGGGGAATGGTGTCATTGATGGAGACGGGGAATGGTGTCATCGATGGAGACGGGGAATGGTGTCATCGATGGAGACAGGGGAATGGTGTCATCGATGGAGACGGGGGAATGGTGTCATTGATGGAGATGGGGGAATGGTGTCATTGTTCAGCAAATAGACTTCACAAGGAAGCAGCACTTAAGGGCCCTTTGTGTTCAACTGGCCCCAAAGTACCCATGATACACAGACATTACAGAGCAGGGAAAGCTGTGTTTCTGTTTCCTACACTTCCCCAGGCTCACCGACACCTGAGGACCACACACACTGCCCAGTGTGAGAGTCCGTTTGGACCTGAGGATTTCAGCCTCTGCAGAGGCAAGTTCAGGGCTTGGGCTCCAGATCCCGTTCTGCCCCTAAGCCGTGTGACCTCGGGAAGCCATCACACAAACTGGCAGACCAGAGTCATTACAGATTCATCGTCAGCAACTTCGCATGGTCACTCCACCCTCAGGCCACCCTGCTGTTTCTCTAGGGGCCTTGGTTGTGAAAAGGATGTCACCCCTGGTCCCTGATCCTCCATCTTCTCCATCCCCCCTCTCCCCACCCCTGTCACTTTGTCTCACTTCTATCAAAGGCCTGCTCTGTCTTCCTGTGCTCTGGTTACCCCCATCTTTACCAAGGACATTGCTCCTGTGTAGCCCCTCCCTCCGCAGAGTCAGTTCCTCCCCCTCCTACAGGTCACTGTCATCAACACAGAGACCCAATTTCATATCCTCATATTTGGACAAAACCCTCTCTCGACCCGTCTATTCCCAGCCAATGCCCCATTTCTCTGCGTCCCTTTGCACTGAAACTTCCTGAAAAGTTCCTGTGGTTGCTCCCTCCCATTCATTAGCTCCCGTGTGCTTGTCCAGCCATTCCAATCCAGCTTCCGTATTCACTCTGCCACTCACAAGGCTCTCATCAAGGTGGCCCCAGTCTCCTTGTTGCCAAATCTACTGGACACTTCTCTGTCCAACCATTGGGCAATATTTCACACAGGCCAACACTCTTTCCTTGAAACACCTCTCTCTCCTCCTGGCTCCTGACAGCTCTCTCGCCTGCCTTCCTCCTTCCTCCTGCTCAGCTGGCCCCAAAGTACCCATGATACACAGACATTACAGAGCTCGGTCTATGTATCATTCCTCCTCTCTGCCCAACTTCCAGTACGGGAGCCTCCCTAGGCTCAGTCCCCCTCCCTCTGGACATGTCTGAGCTGGAAATCAGCATGGGGCATATGGTACTGGGTACTCAGTACTCCATGGTCCAAGCGCACCCCCAGCCTGCTGAGGTTCCAGGGAGGAAAACAGTGTCCGCCTCTTGTGGGAGGAGCAGAGAATCTGCACCCAGCGGCCTAGACACCCAGAAGTCCTCCTGTACTTCTCCGCTCTCTCGCCCTCCACAGCTGATCCTTCAGCAAGCACTGAGTCCCACCTTCAGAACAGGTCTTGAATAGGCCCGCTTCTCTTGATTTCCGTGGCCACCAGCCTCCTTCAAGCCTCAGCGTCTCTAGTCTTACAATGGGCTCCTCCCTGGCCTCTCTGACTCCACGTTGGCCTTGTAATCTGCAGAGCAGCCGAGTGGGCTGTTGCGCTTGTGAAATCTCTCCGCAGTCATTCCAGCTGCTTGCTGCTGGCCTCGGGGCCCTGCCTGATGGGCCCCAGCCCACCTCCCAGCCCCTCTTGCTCCTCCGCCCCCTTGTTCACTGTGGTGCAGCCACTCTGGGTTTTCTTTTGTTTCTCAAACAGGCCAACTTGTGCCCGGCCTGGGCTCCAGGAGTGGCTGCCTCCTCGGCCTGCAGGTCTCAGCTCAGATGTCATCTCTCTGAGACCTCCCGGGCCACCTCCATGCTCCAGGCTCCCAGGCCATGTGCACATCTTCACAGCACTGCACACTGTGGAGTGATTCCTTGGTATCTCTGCTCATTCATTTGTCTGTCTCCCCATTCATTTGCAGACTTTACGACAGCGGAGCCCGTGTCTGTGTGGCTCAACCCTGAACACTCAGCCCCTAGCACAGAGCCCGGCACACAGTGAATGCTGGGCAGATATGCGCAGAATGAATGAGAACATCAGTGAGTAAGGCATGCCACCGCTCTGTACGACGCACTTCCACGTGGCCCCTAATCTTATCTGCCGCAAGCCCCAGCATGCTCCCGCAGAGCAACAGCCTGCCTGTCACGCAGCCCTGCGGGCAGCACTTTTATAAGGCAACCACCCGACAGCCCAGGAGCCTGACATGTCATGACATGGCCCAACACCCACACGGTAGGCCTGGCCCGGATCTCACTCTCAGTCCCAGGGACCACTGCTCCCAGTGCTGACCAGTGGGACGCAAGAGACTCCCAAGCCTGAACTGGAGTGCCATTTGGGACCGAAATAGCTGAGCCTCCAGGCCTGGAGTAGTGGGACCTCGGTCACAGACCTGGGTTGAGCCGAGGACAATGGGTCTTTGTCTTCCCAGGAGGCTCTGCTCAGCTTCCAGGGGAGAATGGCCGGTTCTGAGCACCCAGAGCAGCTGTCAGGGGGAGGGGGAGCCCTGGACCTCTGGAGAGAGAGAGGAAGCTTGGTCAGTGCTGTGACCTTAGGCATGTCACGGCCCCTTTTCAGTTTCACTGCCCCCCCACCTTTGCAGAAAGAAAAGAGCATGAGAGGACCCCAAGGGAGCATCTGGGTACAGATGGGGACTGTGAGGCAGCACAGTCACCCTTGAGCCACCGCCTGCCCCCCAGGAGCAAGCCTCACCATGAGTGAGTCCTGCTGCGGCTCCTCACCTGTTGCTCTCTCTGCCTCAGGCTGTTGGACCAGAGAATGAATGAGTCACCAGGAAGGAGGAGGCCATGGAAAAGGAAAGTGGGGTTCCAGCCCCCCTCCCGGAGCCCTGCCCTTTTCCTCTCCTCTGGCCAGGCAGCCCAGTGAGTCACGAGGTTCCAGTGGGTTCAGCGCCAAGCTCCGTGCTGAGAAGGGACTGCCCCCCCCCGTACACACACACACACACACACACACACACACACAGACACACACACAGACACACACACACAGACACACACACACGCACACGCACACACGCACACACACAGAGACACACACGCACACACGCACACAGACACACACACAGACACACACACACAAGCCACGCTCTTGGCTGTGTGATCTCTTGCTCTGTGTCCCTGCCTCCTATGCAGAGATGGACAGACAGGCAAGGACAGGAGGGCAGCCCAGACCCCCAGACAGACACAGACACCTCCACAGACACACAGACACCCAGTGAATAGGCAGACAGACAGGGACAGTCACACAGCTGTGCACACAGACACACCTGCCAACAAGCACACACATACAGGCACCAGTGCACTGGCACAGACAGGCAGACCCGTGACCAGCACAGGGGCAGCCTCCAGGCAGATGCACAGCACAGAGCAGACAAACAGACTCAGGCACACACACACACACACACACACACACACACACAACACAGACTTAGAGGGGTGGCCTTCAGAGTGTGATTTCAGGCAAAGGACAGGCCAAATGTCCCCCTGGGCCAGCCCTCAGTCCAGGAACGCACTGAAATGGTCTATGGAGGTGGACACGCTCCCCCTGCCTATGTGACCTTTACCAGGACGGAGAGGCCGCGTGCAGAAAGGTGGCTGGAGGTGTGATCATGGAAAGGGACTTTTCTACCAGGAAGGTGTTGAGGCCTGTGTCGGGTGACTAAAGGTGACTGGAGGGAAAGCAGCAGAGCAGTGGCAGGCAGGGGGATACAGCTGACCTCTGAGCCTCAGTTTCCCACCGAGCCTTAGTCCCAGGCCCCCGCAGGGAGCACATGGGCCGGCTCCTGGGTGTGTCAGGGCCAATGCTGGGGCTGTAGGACAATATTCCCCCATTCTCCACCCCGCCCCCCCCCCTTGGGCAGGATCCCCTTGGTGACTCACTGCCCAGTCCCCTGTCCCCTGGCAGGGGGTAACCCAGTCACAGATGCCTGTTTGTCCTTGTCTCCCCCCCCCCCCCCGCCCCCTGCTGGCCAGCTGAGGATGCCCTAGGCTCGGGGAGGGATGTGGGGAGGTCAGCGAGAGGGCAAAGGAATCCCCAAGCTTGGTGCTCAGTCCCACCACCCCTGCCTTTCCCCAGGGGCAGCTTTGAGGCCCGGGCCTGGGGAGGGGGATCTGTCCAGGTGTAGTCTCTCCCCTCCTCCCTGCAGTTTAGAGGCCTCTGGCCCTCACCCAGCCGCCTGGAAGACAGGGGGTTGTGCAATGGGGAGGTAAAAGGTGACAGCGGGCCTGGCGGGACAGAAGCCCCATTGTCTGGGGCCCAGGCCAGCCTGGGCAAAGGAAGGGTTTATGCCCCCGGGCAGGAAGGAGGGTTCTGGGCAGGGGGAGGGCACCAGCTGTCAGGACTCGTGCCACTAGGCCCTGGAGGAGAACAGGTGCCAAGCAGGATGCCCTCAGGGTTGGTAGAGGGGGCAGACCCTAGGAGGGGTTGTAGGGCAGGGCGGCAGCCCCTACCGCACACCCGCCTCACCCCTCAGGAATCTGCAGCCGTCCTTGTCCGGATTCCAATCATTCCGAGGAGGGAGATGGCGTGGAGAGGTCCCAGGCGAGGGGGCACCGTGCAGGGGTGTGCGTGGCTGCTTTTACTGCGGAGGCTGCCGAAGGGGGCCTGAGAGGTTTGCCGCGGGCACCCTCCCCATTATTCCCCAAACTGAGGTCCGGAACCCGGAGCTCCCCTGCTCCGCGGGAGCCCGAGACCCAGGCCGGGAAGTCCTCACCAGTGTCAGGCCACAGTCCTTTCCCTTTCGGTTGGAGTTCCGCCCCTAAGGGAGCAGCTTCCCCGAGACCAGGCGAGCACAGCCCCAGGCTCCCGGCGCCCCGCACCAGCCCCGCCACTGAGCTGCGGGGCGGCCCAGGTGCAGGCGCGGCCCCTCCCTCCGGCGGCGGGTGTGTGTGTGGGGGTCGGGGGGGGGGGCGGTACAAAAAGCGGTCCCGCCCCGCGCTCCTCACTTGACTTTGAGTGTCCAGCGGTCACAGGAGTCCGGTCGCCAGAGTCCGGAGGCGGTGCGTGGGGCAGCCCGGGCCAGCCCACACCCTCATCAGGTAGGGACGCTCCCCGCTCCCGGGAGAGGGTGCGGACCGGGACGGGGAGGAGGAGGGAGCAGGCGGAGGGGGAGCGCGGAGGGTCAGAGGGAGGAGGACCCCATGGGGATGGAGGCGGAGGCGGTGGCAGAGGGACCCGGACAGGAGAGCCCTCTGGTCCAAACCGGGGGTGGTCAGTGGGGGACACCAGGAATGCCACACCCCACCTGCTGTCGGCGAAGGTCCCCAGGCGGGTCAGGGAGGGGCCGCCCCTCCTGCCCGGCCCCTTCTCCCAAGGAGCCGAGGAACGTAAACGTGGCTCCTCGGCGCGTCGGCTGGGGACACAGGAATCAGGGTCTCTGGTCCCGCTAAACCCCTTGGGCTCAGCCCCAGGAGCTGGGAACCATCCCTGGGGGCCAGGGCGTCTCTGCTGCCCGCCTCCCGGACCCCTGACCTCTGCCCTCCCTGGGACCAGGAGCACCATGTGGAGATGCCCACAGCGGCTGCTGCTGTTGCTGCTGCTGGCTGCCCAGTGGGCCCTGGGTGCCCGGCGGGGCCGTGGGCGCCGGGAGCTCGCACCAGCGCTGCACCTGCGGGGCATCCGGGACGCCGGCGGCCGGTACTGCCAGGAGCGGGACCTGTGCTGCCGAGGCCGCGACGACCACTGCGCCCTGCCCTACCTGGGCGCCACCTGCTACTGCGACCTCTTCTGCAACCGAACCATCTCTGACTGCTGCCCGGACTTCTGGGACTTCTGCCTCGGCGTGCCACCCCCTTTCCCTCCCAGCCAAGGTGGGCATCGACAGCCAGGGGGGACACTGACAGCCAGGGGGACACCGACAGCCAGGGGGCACCGACAGCCGGGGGGCACTGACAGGCAGGGGCCACCGACAGCCAGGGGGGGACACCGACAGCCAGGGGGTACACTGACAGCCGGGGGGACCCTGACAGCCAGGGGTGGCACTGACAGCCGGGGTGGGGCACTGACAACCAGGGGGGACACTGAGAGCCAGGGGGACACTGACAGCCAGGGGGACACTGACAGCCGGGGGGGCACTGACAGCCGGGGGGAGCACTGACAGCCGGGGGGGGGGACACTGACAGCCGGGGGGAGACACTGACAGCCGGGGGGGGCACTGACAGCCAGGAGGGCACTGACAGCCGGGGGGGACACTGACAGCCAGGGGCGGGCACTGACAGCCAAGGGGGGGGGCACTGACAGCCAGGGGGGCACTGACAGCCGGGGGGGGACACTGACAGCCGGGGGGGGGACACTGACAGCCAGGGGGGGGACACTGACAGCCGGGGGCGGGCACTGACAGCCAGGGGGGACACTGACAGCCAGGGGGGCACTGACAGCCAGGGGGGACACTGACAGCCAGGGGGACACTGACAGCCGGGGTGGGTAGCTTTTTCAGTCTCAAACTCAGCCAGGCTCAGGAGCAAGGCTGAAGCACTGCCATTTCCAGGGGAGGCTTTGCAGCATCTGGGAAGAGACCCCACCTCACTCTCTGCCTCTGGGAAGCCCCCGCTCTGGTCTCACTGGACTCTCTCCAGCGAGACTGAACGAGAGAGGGTCCTTGGTCGGTGGGATTCTCCGCTGGCCCGGAGAAGGGGAGTTTCCTGCCCTTTCTCCCAGTCCCGTTTCCATATTCCGGACGCAGACACGGAAGGTGCGGGCCCCGCCCGCTGACTCACGCCCAGGTTGATAAAGCACAAGGGCTGGTCAGGGTCATCTTAGCCCTTCCTCTGCCTTCCCCAGGGTTCTCTACCCCCAGGTGGCTGGTCACGCCTGGGAGCTGGGTTAGATCTGCTCCTGCTCAGCCCTCGCCACCTTCCTTGCCCACGCACTTGCCCTCTTGGATAGAATGCGTGAATTCCTTCCCAGTTCCATGGGACTGTGGATGTGAGACTGCATATGTGGGTTGTCATCCCCGAGTGCTATATTATTTTAGTGGAGTCACTTGCCTTCTCTGGGCCTCAGATTCCCCATGGATTACGCACCCCCCCCCAATTCCCGGTCCCCAAATCCCAACTCACTTACATGCGAAGCATCCCCGGAATGCTGTGGCTGGCAGAAAGTGAAGCAAGAAGGATCTAAGTTGGAGTCCCTGATGAACTTACTAGGAGCAGTTGCCGGGTGACCCTGCAGGAGGGTCTTAAGTTATAGTTTGACTTTAGTTTCAGTGAGGGCTGGGATGTGTGTGTGCGGTGGGGAGAGGGAGGACGGAGGTGTCCACGTTTCTGGACACCTGACCTTTAAGAACTTGGCCTTTGCCACCCATCATCTCTGGTCTCAGTTCTGCTTTGCTCTTCTCTTCCCTCCCACCAGGATGCATGCATGGGGGTCGCATCTACCCAATCTTAGGAACCTACCAGGACAACTGTAACCGTTGGTGAGTGTTTGGGGCTTGGAGAAGCACCCTTGTGGGCTTTGTGGCTGACAGACTTGGTTCAAACCCTGTCCCTGTCACTTACTTGCTGGGGGCAAGTCCTTCCCCTTCTCTGAGCCTCAGTTTCCTCATCTGAAACATGGGAGTTTTCACACTGACCGTGTCAGCTTCTATAAACAACATTCTGACAACATTCCCCAGGGGTGACCCACCATGGGTACCTGACTCCAGGTGGGGCCCTGAGCTGGGAGTCATTCCTGGCCCCTCCTCGCATGGGCTGGGCTACTGCCACCCCCACCCCACCCCAACCCCGGCCTTTCTCCATGTCACGGGGGAGTCCGAGAAGGGGGCGCCAGGAAGGAAACCTCTGACTGCAGCATCCGCTGCCCTGGACCGGATGAGGGTCAGGGGTGGCTGCGCTGGAGGTCAGCCAGCCTGTAGCAGGGCCTTCCCCGGAATGTGGCCCCTCTCCCTCTTCACCTCCGCCATTCCGTTCCGGCAGGAGGAGGAAGGAGTCAGGGGTGCTCCTCGATTGAACCTGGAGCCTGAGATGGAAAGTGGAGCTGGGGTGGGCAGGAAGCCTTAACGGAAAGAATGGGGACCCTGTGACTTAAAAGGAGGGGGCCCTGCACCCTCTCCACCCCCTGCCCTCTTTGCCTGGGAGGCCCCAGAGAGAAGGAAACTTTTTGGAATGCATTACGCATAAGCTGTTTCCATTGCCTCACTGGTATGAGGGGTGCTGGGTGAGAATGTGTCTGGGGCAGAGGGAGAGAGAGAGAGAGAGAGAGAGAGAGAGAGAGAGAGAGAAGAGAGAGAGAGAGAGAGAGAGAGAGATGCTTGTATGTGTTCAGAAGATGGAGGGCACCTGCATGATTCTGCCAGTCCTGACAGGATACCTCTGGACACTGAGGGGTTAACACTTTCTCCAAGCCTGACCCTGGGCCTGGCCACCCCAGACCCTCTCTGGAATGCTGGGATCTGTTGTCACCAGTCCAGTCTAGACCTGCTTGGACAGCCCTAGGGGCAAAGGGGAGGTGCAAGCAAGGACTGACCAGCCCTCTGCCCACCCAGGCCAGCTCTGAGCAGCTGGCTCCCTGTGCTTGGGACACCTGAGGGAGGGTGTGGGGCTGTGTGAGCCCTCGAGGGATGAGGAATGCTGAGAGAGAGTTGGGGGGGGGGGAGGAAAGCCTCCTGTCCCACAGTCCCCTCTGGCCTCCCTGAAAGTGCCCGCCCCCTCCTGGGACTGGAGAGCCCAGCCATACTGGGTCTTTCTTGGTTCCCCTTGAGGCTCCTTAAAAGGCAACATTGGAGGCGGGGAGCCTTGGGCGGGCTTGGAAGGAGGTGATTTAGCATCTTGTAATAGCAGAGTTAAGAGCTTGTAAAAGTACCGAAGAATTCATAGAATTCAACTATTCAGTCGACACCTATTTTTTAAAGACCTACTAAGCGCAGCCAGAATGCACCACAGGTTTTGTCCTTGGAGCTTCCAGGCTAGTGGTGAAGAACCAGACCCACAAACACGCATCATTGCAACCTCGCATAGGCATGAGGGGAAGAGAGAGAACAAGGGGGACCCCAGATTAGAGTGTGGTGGGGTTGAGTGAGGGCCACCCAGGAAAGGACATTTGTGCTGATATCAGAGAGACAAGAGGCCCAGGAGGGAACATGGGAGGAACAGCGTGTGGGAAGGCCGGAGTGGGACCCAGCTCACTGCAGCCAGAGCTGTGAAACGGGGAGAGAGGCCCCGGGAGGTGCAGGCCACTTCCTGCGAGTCTCATAAACGGTGGCGAGGATTTTGTATTTTGTTCTACGTGTTGTGGGAAGCCACTTAGAGCACATAATCTGATTTACTGGCCAGTTGATCTTCCTCAGAGATTTCTCTGGCTTCAGAAGGGGTGTGTGTAGGGATCACGAAAAGGCAGGGAGCCTGGTTAGGTGAGAGGTGGCAGCGGAGGGGGGTCAGGCAGGTGGACTCAGAGCCTTTTGTGATGTGACTTCTTGGACCTGCTGATGGAGGAGGCCTGGGGGTGGGGCTGAGTTCTGGCTTAAGCACCTGTGGATAAGGTGGGTGACTGGAGCTGAGAATGTTAGGGCAGGAGCGGGTGTGGGAAGGCAGCTTGATCATTTAAAGTTTGAGATGACTTTTATACACCCAGAGGGGCCAGCTGGATCTGAGTCTGAAACTCCAGAGGGGCGGGGCTGGGTCCCTGTAATGAGAACAAGAATGGTGGGGGACAATCTTGGAGGACCTAAGACAGGCCCAGCCACACTGCACGCTCTGCACGCTGCCACTGCATCCCTGAAAGGTGGAGCTATTATTGTCCTCAATTTACAGACAATAGTTTAACTTAGCTGCTAGGACTGGACCCAGGATTTGAATTTCAGAATCTATGCTTAGTCACTTCGCTATAGTGCCTCATTCATTCATTCATTCAATAAACATTTACTGGGTGCC